TTCCAACTCTCAGCTCAATGCTTTCTCCACCATTAACATCATCAGTAGCTCCATTCACAAAATGACACTGATACTTGTCATATTGTGTAGAAAGAGAGAACCACCGTGTCTATAAGACAGTTTACATTGGGAATGGCTTCCAAGCAGTGGTTCCTCGATGGCACACAGCGAGGGACTACCGTGTCCTGATGGCCGTGTGAGCCCTCTACAGGGCGGACCTGGCTCAGACGATTTTGTGGAATTAACTGTCTCTGCAGTGCTGCCCACTTCCCCTGGACGAAGGTCTTGTGGTTGAAAGAAGAGCTGAGAACGTGGCCTCCCTAGAGTCACGTATGAGAATTCCCGTGTAAAGAGGGGAGATCAGATATCAGGTGGAGAGGGGACCCAGCCTCCCGGCTGAGACGCAAACCAAGTCTGTCACCTGAGTTTCCACGCGCCACTGAACCTAATCCAGCGCTTCGATGTGAGTCTTCCTCCAGCTTAGCTAGATTAAATGTGATGACACTATTAATTAGGGGTTAATACCAATAAAGGTTTTGAAAATAACGTAGTTGCTTCATTATGATATCTTTTGTGGGTGGGGGGAGGTATGGAGGGGAGCCTTGAGCTGGCCAATGAGATCCTAACTTATCTTTTCGATTCTTTACAAAGAGACAGAATGAGGAGACCCACTCATTGGCAAGTACTCCAGAAACTTCCCCGGGACAGCCCCCTCCAGACACTTCAGACCCCATTTACCACCAACAGACTGGTGGGTTCCAACTTAGAGTTATTACAAGGGATCCCCAGTCTATATGCTGTTTTCTTGGTCAGTAGATACCATAATGAGGGCGGACCCAGAAGCTCTGATGTCAAAGGCCTTTGTACTAACCTGGCTGAGAATCACATGATGGTAGACTGAGGTATCCTACCCGCCTTGCTTTCCCAATTTCCAACTTAAATGTGGCTTGAACTTTAACACTAAGGGGCAAACTGTATCTTGAGCACGACCACTTTGTGACAGAAAAATCTACATCTTGGTAATAGAGATTTTTTGGGGAAAAAAATGCTAAAGACGTTATTAATTCTGATAATCAAAATCCATAAAAGGGGAAAATGCATATCAGCATAGTGTCAGGTGCAAAATCATCATAGGGGCAACTCTGCTCACGGAATGACAGTGGGATGCAGACGAAAGAAGCAGTCACTTACAGTCAGAGGAATCAGGATGGAGCCCAGCAATTCTACCCACTTTTCTGTAACCTTGGGCAAGTCCAAGGTAAAATGTATTAAAATGTATCCTCATCTGTAAAATGTATTAAATAACAACATAAATGCTTTCAAGGTTGTTGGGCTCAAATTTAATGATGGAAGCAGAAGTGTTTTATCATCTAGAAAGAGTTAAAGAAATGTTACTTGCTGCCATGATTATAACAACAACTTTGATTCTCCTGTTTTTATTACGGTTTTACTCACACCTAATTGTCCATTTCGTTTTTGGTACTTTTTATACATCAGGGATGTTGCCTCCAGAGACCAAGAAATGCTTTGATTCCCTGGCCTGCATTACAACGTGATTTATCTGACTTCCATGTCGCAGCTGTGAATTTCCCACTTCTCTTCCTCTCCGTTTGACAAGTCTACGGTTGCATTTCTGCCTCTGCTGAAGGGAGTTCCCACAGATTTCGGCCCCTCCTCTTTCCAGGTTCATTTTTCTTCTCTCACATGAGGCAAGGGCTGGAAGGGAATTAGGCAGAGTCTCTCTGCTCTGAAGTTATCAAACTTCCTTTGCAAAGGGGTCATTTTTCCTACTTCAGCGCAAAAAGGCCAAGATGCCTTCATTTAATACAAGAAAGAAGGCACTGGATAGGGCTGATTCATTTGGGATTTCTTAAATCTCCATTAAGTGGAGAGGAAGCCGGGTGTGGCCTGAGACATGGCTCGGGGGCTGTGGATTATACTGGGGCTCCGAAGAGCCTTTCAGAACTCATCCTGAGACAGGAAGTGATGAAATCAGCTCTCACGTGAACGATCACGTGCCCTCACCTCCTTCCTGTCTCGATGGGCCCTCAGGGAGAACAGGGAGGGGAAAGGAGCCTGGGGGAGGAGGTGGTGGCCAGAGGGAAGAAGAGGCCAGAGGAGGGTCTGGAAATAGTCCCAGCGCTGCCCCTCCCCTCCCCCTCCCCCTCCCATCCCCCTCCCCCCTCCCATCTCCCCCATTTCCTTATTCTTCTGGAGCTGGGAGTCAGTCAACTGGTTTATTTCTACTCTCAGCCTCCCATTGCGAAAAACTGCTGCATTTAACTACAGTTTCTTGTGAACACTCAGTTTCCCGAATCTCTGATGCTACTGACAATGCAAATGGAAAAAGGAAAGTGTAAACGTATTTTCCAGGCTACTGGAAACACCCCATGGACTCACCAATTCTGCTTTCCCCTACTTCCACTCTAAATAGTCAAATGGAGAAAAGGGGTAGGAAAGGCGGGATTATTAGGTATCCGGGTGTCCTGTATCACCTTCTTTATTTATTTTTCTGCCACACCACGCACGTGGAATCTTGGTTCCCCCACCAGGGATCGAACCCACGCTCCCTGCATTGAAAGCACGGAGACTTAACCACTGGACCGCCAGGGAAGTCCCTGTCCTGTATCACCTTGGGCCAGCCTTATTCATATTTACTATTCTTGAGTTATTCACTAGGGGAAAGCTACAATGTTAATTACTGGCACAGGATGGAGAGAAAAAGGAGAAAAAATTCAGAGATGACTTTCTTTGTATAGAGATCATTTCAGAAAGGCACATGAAGACGGAGGAGTGTTGGCTACTGCCAGTCATAAAGGGAACAGGCGGTATCCCAGTGCGATGGGGCAGCGGGCATGGTGAACGGGGGAGCAGATGTGTGTGGTATATGATCTCAGACTGAGACTGGGGGCACAGGTCCCGCCCTCGCTGCCAAGGTGCAGGCCCCTCCAATATTATAATAAGAAAAGCCACAAGCAGATGAAACAGATGATAATTAAGGGGCGGCAGGTCTCACGCGCCCCCTCTTGAGGGAAGGGCTGGGGAATAGTCTGGGCAAGGTTTGCACCGTGAACAAAGACGGACTCGAAAGGACACGGATTCTGTTGTAAAGACCATGAGTTGCGTGCTGACCCCACCTGCCAGGGCCTTTCTGAGTGCAGCTGCCTCTCCACGGGCACTCAACACTCCTGCACTTAAAACTAGATGTTGTACCCGGCAGTCACTGCTGGGAAAGCCGGCCTGAGACAGGTAAGCAAAAGCATCATCTCGTGAGCTGGATTTGGTACTCTGGCTTGGATGGCGACCAGTGGCAGTGGCCTTGATTGCACCCGGCCCTTCCTGGAACCTACAACCTGAAAGTCACGGTCAGTGCCCGGCTCTGTGATAGTTGACTTTGCGAGTTACAAAGGTTTAAAAAGCAACGTTTCCCCCCACCTCGTTTCTGTTAGAAAAAGTTAACCTTTGTAGTAATAGAAGTAATTTAAAAGTTAAAGACTAGAGACGGAGGCCTTGACTTGGACCTTAAAACCTCCAAAGATGTCAAGGTTTTATGAGATAAGCTATACAAAATCAAATACAAAATGCCCACATGACAAGATGAAGTCCTACTCAGGTGTAGCACACGCCCCAACATGCTAATTTCCACCCTACAGAACGGTAGGCACAGATCAGACCCTTAGGACTGGGGCGGGGATGACCACTCAGGCCTCCAGGCCACGGGCCCCGCTCCTGCACACCCCTGTCAGCCCCTTTTCCTTTCTGGGGAGCATTTACCACACCCTCTCAACACCCTCATCCAACAGGGCGAGCGGAGGGCCTCGTTCATCGGTGCCAAGAGTGACCCAAGCTTTGACTTTAACCCTCAACACATCCCCTTGAAGCAGCAACGACCGTGCCCCTCGGACAAGCGAATACACTGACCCAAGGAGGCAAAGGCCTTCCTGACAGTGGCTACCAAGTGGCCGAGCCTCGGCACCAGCTCCGGTCCAGGACGCTGGCCTCCGGCTCTGCCCCTGACACTCTGCTGCACAGTATGTGTTCTGGGTTTTCCTCAAAGTGCTTTACCCGTGGACTAACTCATTCCTTCAGCCTCATCTCCCCAAGAAGGCCTTATCAAGTTCCCAAGTTTTAAAAGAGGGTCTGAGGAAGAAATGGGCACAAGAAATGAAGACCATAACGACCCCCCTTTCCCAGAACTTCTAGAAACTTCTCATGCTCCTTTGGGCTTTATGGTACGTGGTCTTCCCAGCATGAACCACCCATGACCAATATCAAGAGACAAGCAAATCGCTGAACATGACTGACAGACACAACGAAACCCTGAAAAGTCAGTAGCTGGCAACATGCAAATGTGCATTTCCTTGCGATGCCAGGCACAGGGCTGGGTTTCCGGGTAACTTCCCTCTCCTCTTAGATACACTTCAGAAAACATCATGTGATTCCAAACTAAACAAATCTGCAACTTTTAGGCTAGTACTAGAAATGCTATGAATGAGTATTTCTCAGAATCCTAAAGACACACCCAACAAGAAGGAGTGAAAGGGGGTAGAGAGGGAAGGAAGACAGTTCCTCTGTTGTCGGGAACACTGAGGACTTAAAAGCATCAGTACTTTAGAGCAGTAACTTAAACACCACAGATGCATCACTTGGAAGGTGCTGTGCTTACACCCTGTGGAGTTCTTCTTCAAAATGCCCGCAAAGTGACCAGCTCAGTCGTGCTGTTCCTATCTCTCGTGCGGAAATGAATACAAGTATAAAGAGGTGGACGTGGGTCAGAGACAAGGGCATCCAAGTCAACACTCCACACGTGCGCACACACATTCCAAGGGAAACACCCATCGCTGCCTCCAAAGACACATCCTTTGGGAGATTTTTTTGTTATCACCGCTACTGGGAAACACAACGCAAAGGCCTTCTCCCTGGAAGTGCAATTCCATCCCGAGTCTGAAATAGGGAGGTTTTGCAAACTTACAGCATATGCCCGTTTTATCATACGTCACCTGAGCAGAAAAGTCAATCAGCTTTGGAAGCAGCACTTTGCCCCCTTCGTCGCTCTTCAGGAAATCCAGCAAACTGCCTGTTGATAGAGGAAGGTCGTTAGTGTAGTTCAAACACACAAGAAAAAAATCCAAACAAAATTCAAAAGATCATTCCTACTGGCAGGCCAGGGTGGGGCGAGGGGACCACGCAAAACGACTGCTTTGTAAATCTGTGTGGTCACAAGGCGCCTTTTCCTGATGTGGGTCAAACCCAGTCCCCTTTAACCTGTCTCCTTTGACCTGATGTGAAATGTACCTGAGCTCCAGGTAAGAAAAGGTGACGGTGGACGCTGCTTTCTTGCTACTGAGCACTTCGTACCTGCCACCACGCTACACGTCCTGCAGCACCTGATCCCCGGAGCTTCTCTGGGACAGAAACCAGCCAGTCCTCCCAGGCGGCCTGCCTGTGTCCACAGCAGCCACTCAGCTGGGCTACTGCCCTCCGTGTCCAGCACGGATCTCAGCCATGCCCCAGGTGCCCAATGAGTATTTGATGAACCAACTGCGCTTTGGAGGAAAGTGAGACCTTACTTAAAGGGGCGCGTGCCCACAGGCAAAGTCTTCTGCTTCCAGGGGCTTTATCTCTAAAACGCGACCTGCTTCTTCTAGAACTTAAGAGTGCCAACCTGAGGGTAGGCTTGGGCAAGTTCTGTACCTCGTCTGAGTCCCTGTCAAGAGGGTAGGTCCCAGGAGCTCTATCAGAGACCGCGGGAGGACAGGTTTAAAGCACGTGCCAGGGAGCCGGCAGGTAGTAAGCGCTCAATTAATCCACAAAGAACACTGCTATATTTAAAATGGATAACCTACTGTCCAAGGTTACAGTGGATACGAGGACCTACTGTATAGCACAGGGAACTTTGCTCCATATTATGTAACTACCTAAATGGGAAAAGAATTTGAAAAAGAATTGACACGTGTATACGTACGATATAACTGAATCACTTTGCTGTACACCTGAAACTAACACAACACTGTTAATCAACTATCCTCCAATATAAAATTAAAAGTTAAAAAAAAAATCCACAACTCAGAACAGTGGTACTTAGCCCTCAGATTGCTGGGAAGATTGAGTGAGATCCCCCAGGGAAGACACCAAGAGCAGTCTGACATATAGTAATTGCTCAATACAAGGTAGGCACTGTTATCCGGAGAAAGTCATGTTTACATTTACGATTAAGAAATATTATTAATTAATTAATCCAACAAGTATCTACTGAACTCCTGCTTAAATGTCTGATCCTGAGCCTGGTTTCTGGGTCGTAGCAACCTAAGCCACAGGCAATTGGGCTTTTTAAAAAACAATGTTCTTTATGGGAAGGACTCTGAGGGACTAATATTCTGAAATATTAACATATATTAAATAAGAAAGTGTAACAATCATCTATCTAACCTATTCAGCTATGACATACACTATAATCTCCATTCTGCAGGAGACCATTGTTAATTCTGGATTATGGCTTATGTGTCTTTTCCTCCTTCATTCCTTCTGAAGATTCTTTAGAAATCACTTAGCAGTTTATTAGTATTTCTACTGAACTGCAGGGAGAAGGGTGGTGATTCAAGATCCTTCATCTGAAGGTGACAACAGTGGGAGAAAAGATGGTAGCTTGAAACCTCTTCCTCAGGGATTCTGCGATGACACAGGAATTTGACCTTGACAAGCTTTAAAAATATTTACATTTTGAAGTGACATCCTGAACACTTAGATGACGCTAAAGAGGAAATGGAACTGGTTTTGAAATTTTGAGAACTCACATGCTGAACCCATAACAATAATACTCTTACTTGATATCCATATTTACTTATTTGAAAGATACTTCCTGGGGGCTGACTAGGTATGGGGTACGACTCTTGGAGCTAATATGTATGTGGAGACAAGTGCAGAGAAACTAGCAAGACGACAGATCCATTTTGTAACAGATGACTTGCAGGGCGGCGGTTTATGAAAAGGCTTCATTTTCCTATATGTGCTGATGCTTTGGGAGTGAGCCTGCTGTTTTACAACTGGGAGTATCTGCGTCTTCTCGGAACGTTTAGGTGTTTTCCTTTTTGAGGGTCCGGCCTTCACAAGCATGGGTGCCGGCGGGTGGCGCTCACCCTTGGCCATGTACTCGGTGATGATGTAGATGGGCTCCTCCTTGGTGACCACGGCGTACAGCCGCACCAGCTTGTCATGCTGCAGGGTCTTCATGAGGTTGGCCTCTTCCAGGAACGCTTGCACAGACATTGTGCCTGGCTTCAGGGTTTTTACAGCCACTTTGGTACTGTTGTTATAGTAACCTAGGGAGAGAAAAGAAGGGAGGCCGTGATTTATCAAAAACTTCATGCAGACTTAGAAGAATATTTAGTTATAGACAGAAGAAACTTCTATGAACTCTACAGTGATAACATTATCTAAAACCTGTACATGTAACATTAGGGGCAGCTGAGTAAAGGGTAGATGGGAATTCTCTGTACTATCTTTACCAAAAAATCCCTAGAATGATTCTGAAATCAAAAGGTTTTTTATAAAACAATGGTAAAATACAGCTCCATATATGCACTGCACCATTTTCTCTAATTAACAAAATGTTCTTTATCCAAAAAACCACACACACCAAAGCTCTATATACTCCTACGTACACACAAACCCTGACAGTGGTCTGGAAGAAAATGCACCAAAATACACCGAGGACTGGCTTAATTATGGGTGATTTAAATTTTGTTCACCATACCTTTAACTCTTTACCAAGTTTACTGCAATGAATATGTATTATTTTTATAATCAGAAAAGAAAAAGCTTTGCACTTGAAAAAAATTTACTAACTTTAAAGTACAAACAATACACTAGAGTCAAATAAACACTTCCCAAAGTTTTCAAAGAGAACTGGATTCTGCGTGAACGAAGGGCTCTGGGCTGAACCGTCTGGGGACCACGGCCTGCCCCACCCGCTGTGCCAGGAGATGCAGCGCGAGTGCGACAGTCCATCAGGGAAGATGAGTCGATTAACTGCAGCATTCCCCACACTTGCTAGACCCCGGAACACTTCTTTGTGTACCTTTTCACACCCCACAGAACGTACTTCGGGAAATACTGCCTACTTAATCCAGTTCCCCCAGGGCATCTTTTCTGGGACCTGCCTCAATGATGTGCTTACTTTCAAGCTTGATTTTCTCCTGGGAAAGCTTTTTCTCAGTTTGGAAAGCAGAAGTAGAGACAATCACATGCCCCTTTCCTTTCCTTTCTGTTTCCATAGTTCTCTTAGAAGTACAAAAAAGGGTGAGGAAGGAGGAAGTGGCAGCTGGTCACCACCACGAGTCATCCTGCAGTTCACCTCTACTTGGTGGGTTACAGCCTGATAGCACCTGCCCCCAAGAAAGACACAAGTCTAAGGAACGGTGATGTGAAAATGTCCAGTCCCTTTTCAGGTCACACGATTATTAGCAAATACACAGCTTACACTCATTGAAACTCAACAATGGTGGTTGGTCTTTGGGGGGCAGAATTTGGGGCAGAATTTGGTTCTCTTTTATTTTGATTAAATTTGTGAATGAGTATATATTTTCCCTTTTTTTTTTTTTTTTTTAACAAAAGGAATTATTTTTAAAAAGGAAAGGAAGTATGTTTCTATTTCCACACCTTCCAATGGGTAAAAAAAAGTATTAGTTTACAGCTAACAGTCAACTCTAGTTAGTGATTTTTCTTCTTATCATTAATACTGCTTTTTCTGCTAAAACTTTTCCTTTTATATTCTCCTTTGATTTGTACTTAGTAGTAGCTTTCCATGCCTTACGGAAAAATGAAGAATGCAGTATATAAAATAAAGTAAGCATGGGAACATATGGAAAAGACAGTAATATAAAGCTGACAAAATATTGTCCTAGGTCATTATCACAAGCCACACCTACACAAAATAATGGAATTATGAATATATTAAACTGATTTCCATCTCAATGCATAATTACGAACAGTACGACCTTTCATGGCTGTAAAGAGTAAATTTAAAGTAAATCCCACTAACAGAAGTCCTTTTAGGGGCTTCTCTGGTGGCGCAGTGGTTGAGAGTCCGCCTGCTGACCCAAGCATTCCCGCTCTGGGCGAACCTGACGGACCGCACAGAGCCAAGCAGAGTTGGTACGTGCAGGAAACAACTTCCCGGACAAGTGTCCAACTGGCCTCGGTTAAAATTAACTGAAGCGAGATCTTGGAGGCTTCCGGAGCAACATCAAAGAACCTGGGTATTCCTCTACGAAAGGCTCTGGCAGGCTGAGGTGGCCGACCTCTGCAGGCTCCGCCCTCATCCTTGGGCGGCTGGGCCCCGGTGGAGGCAGGGCACGGGGACAAGGAGCCGGTGCTGGTGACAGGACAGGGTTAGGGTCCTGGACTCAAGGGAGCAGTGACCACTCGTGCGGCCTCCTTCCGGGTCACCCTGAGCACTTTGACAGGGATGCCAGAGCTGTGGTCCAAGTGAGTCTCTAGTGGGTGGAGGTCTAGAAAAGCCTCAGGCTCTGCCTGCGCTCCTTTCTAGACCAGACGGGACACAGAAGGGGCCTCGCAGAGTCGGGCCCAGAGCTCTGTGACCAAGAGGGCCTCCCTCTCGACCCAGGCGAGTGACCGTGGGGGGATTCTCAGAAGTAGGTGGTTTGCCCACAGACAGGCTGGACCGTGGTTTCTCCACGTTTTCCTTAATGGCTCCCAGTACAAGGCCAAGCTTCTTAGAAGCCAAAGAGCATTACCCAAGAGGAAACCTTTCGGTGCTTTCAGATGAGGTTGAGTATTCATGACTTAAAGTGCTTCAAGGACCCTAGTTCAGAGGCAGAAGTATTCTAAGGAGGTTTTCACTGAGCAGAGACAGGAAAATAAACTGAGACAGAGAAAAGGGTTTCTTTCACTAGAGGGGAGGAGGCGGAACCTTGCTCAAGTGTCAACAGCGCTGAGGCTGAGAGACCCTGGGTTTTGGATCCTGGCTGAGGCAGATTATGCTGCCTTCTCAAGTTACGCTAGGATGTCTGAGGAAATTCAGGAGATTACCTTTCCCTTTTTTTTTTTTTTTTTTAACAAAAGGAATTATTTTTAAAAAGGAAAGGAAGTATGTTTCTATTTCCACACCTTCCAATGGGTAAAAAAAAGTATTAGTTTACAGCTAACAGTCAACTCTAGTTAGTGATTTTTCTTCTTATCATTAATACTGCTTTTTCTGCTAAAACTTTTCCTTTTATATTCTCCTTTGATTTGTACTTAGTAGTAGCTTTCCATGCCTTACGGAAAAATGAAGAATGCAGTATATAAAATAAAGTAAGCATGGGAACATATGGAAAAGACAGTAATATAAAGCTGACAAAATATTGTCCTAGGTCATTATCACAAGCCACACCTACACAAAATAATGGAATTATGAATATATTAAACTGATTTCCATCTCAATGCATAATTACGAACAGTACGACCTTTCATGGCTGTAAAGAGTAAATTTAAAGTAAATCCCACTAACAGAAGTCCTTTTAGGGGCTTCTCTGGTGGCGCAGTGGTTGAGAGTCCGCCTGCCGATGCAGGGGACATGGGTTTGTGCCGCGGTCCGGGAAGATCCCACGTGCCGTGGAGCGGCTGGGCCCGTGAGCCATGGCCACTGAGCCTGCGTGTGCGGAGCCTGTGCTCCGCAACGGGAGAGGCCACAACAGTGAGAGGCCCGCATACCGCCAAAAAAAAAAAAAGTCCTTTTAATATTACATTTGAATCAAAAAGGTTTCATTATAATTTGTTTAAGAGTTCATAAATAGGTCTTCATTTACATCGATATATCCATGGCAAAGTACAGCAAGGCGTAACAAGAAAATATACCCTCTTTGATATATAAAACTGACAAAGGACTAGTGTCCAGAATATATAAAGAATTCCTATAAATCAATAAGAAAAATAGAAAAATAGGCAAAAGCTTGGATGGGCATTTTAAAAAGAAGAAATTCTAATGACTAACAAACTTGTGAAAGAAACTCAATCTAATCAGTAATCAGCGAAATGCAAATAAAGCCACAGGGAGAAACCACCACCCAGCAAGACAAAAATGACGAAGTCTGACAATCTTGAGTGCTGGTAAGTGCCGGCCCCTTGGCAGGGGAGCAGGGGCAGTTCCTGCAGCTCCTTTCCTGGGCTCTTTTCTGAGCATCAGTGAAATTCAGTTGTAAAGCTCCTGTCTCCAACAATATCCTCAAGGTCCCTCGGAGGATGTAGACAGAGCAGACTCCTTTCTAGTGCAGTTGTGTTGAGTGACCACCCACCCGGTCTGTGCTGACCTGAGGCCCACATCTACCCAGTACCACTGTGCTGTCAGGAAATGGAACACTGCCGACCCTTGTACGTTGCTGGTGAGAGTCTAACCCAGACGAGAGCTTTGGAAATTAAGTCGGCAGCGTTTCGTGGAGTTGAAGATTCATACACCTGTGATCCAGCAAAGCCACTCCTGGTCATCTAGAGAAACTCATGTACCCTCGCACCAATCAGCACAAAAACGTTCCCAGTAGCCTTGTTCATAATAGCCAAAATGTGGGAGCGACTCCAATGCCATCAATAAATCGTGAGAAATAGGTAGGGTTCCTTTACATAAAGTGCAAAACCTGGCAAAACTAAACCGTACTGTGGACACACACCCCCATATTCAAAAATAGCAGAACTACAAAGAAAAGTCAGGAAATTATGGCAAAGTCAGAACAGCAGCTGCCTCCGGGGGACAGGCGGGGTTGTGACTGGCAGGGGGTGAGTGGGCGCTTCGGGCTGCGACCTCAGTGGTCACCACACAGGTTTTCATGTTGTCATTAGCTACGAAATCCAACATTTGTGTGCTATGCACCTTTCTGTCTGCTTGTTACATTACATGGCAACCAAAGAGAAAGGAACAGAACTACTCTCCCTTCGCTGTCATAAAAGCCATGGGACTCATTCAGACTTTCACATAAAATAAAATGATGGGTAAAGGATGAAGAGAAAAATGCTTTCCAAGCGTAGGGGGAAAAGTTAGCAGGAAATACTGCAGCTGCTAAAGATATTAAAAATGCTGATAAAGAGTTTGAGATGAACAGTGAATAAAACAGCTGTGTCAAACACAGCTCCAGGATGGCAACAGCTTCCGCGCTGCGGCCTCTTAGGGCTGTGACATTTGCACGATAGGGCAGGTTTCCACCTGCACTAAAGGCATGATTTTTATTCAGCGCTAAGGATCAAATTGTACTTTACCGAGATATTCCCTGGTAGTGGCAGGTTCACACCAGTCACAGAGATTTGGATTGTCATTACAGATGGAAACATA